ACTTGACATTTCTGTATTTTTGATCCACAAAGATCTCTATTTTTAGTCAGCAAGAAAAACCCAAAGGTAGCCTGTGAAAATACAAAACTGCAAACCCTTATCTATGCAAAGGGAGCATCAGACCAAGCACCCACGAAGACTACCAAAAGTTTAGAAAGGTCATAAGCTGGGTCCACGTCAGTACACAGGAACATTTCACATTCAGTAAAACCTGCAGGCGAGTTAAAATTAGATCGAATTTATTTGTGTGCCTAATTATAGATGGAGAAGTATAGCTCATTCTGGCAGACAGGCTTAGGTAACAGGTTTCTTTCATCATAAGCCTACAGTTTCAAAATCTAGTCAGAAACCTTGCCCACCGGGCGCACCTCGTGCCCAACACCTGTCAGTGCCCAGAGAAACCAGCACGGCTCAGCTCGGCACAAATCCCCGATTCTCTGCCAGCCGCCCAACAAATCACAGGGTGCCCTCTGCAGCACACACTCCTCCACACTGGAACAGGTTGCCCAAGCAGGCTGTGGATGCCCCATCCCTGGAGGCATTCAAGGCCAGGCTGGACGTGGCTCTGGGCAGCCTGGTCTGCTGGTTGGCGACCCTGCACACAGCAGGGGGTTGGAACCAGACGATAATTGTGGTCCTTTCCAACCCAGGCCATTCTGCGATTCAATGATACCTGCCGGCCTCATCACGGCTTCACGTGTAGAAGAGCGGCAGATTTTAGAAATGCACCGGGACAAAACATCAGGGCAGATTTTAATGAGGCCCTCCAAACCGAACGACGCACGCGGCACCACCGCTGCCACATCAAGGACAGACGCGAGGCCGGCAGCTCGGCGCGGTGAGCGCAGGGGAACGAAGCGGCAGCTCGTGAGGGAGCGGTGCCACCCGCTGATCTCATCCGCTCCGCTCCGTCCCCCCGCTTTCCCCGCGAGATGGCGACGCCGCCCAGCGACCGCCGCGAGGGGAGCCGGGCGCGGAAGGCCCGCGCTGCACTTCCGCCGGAAACCGAAGGGGAACCGGAAGGGGAACCGGAAGTGGCGGGGCGCGGCGCGTGCCGGTGTCCTGGCGCTGGCGGCAGCGGTGGCGCCGGTGAGTGGCGGCAGAGTCGGGCCCAGCCCGGCTACCGGCGGCGCGGGGGTGAACGGGAGCGGGCACGGCCGCGGCGGCTGAGGGCAGCAGGGCTCGAGCCGGGCCGGCAGCCCGGTGGGACCGCCGGTGAGAGCGCGAGGTGCGGCGGGCGCGTTGTCTGCTGCCACGCTTAGCACGGAAACTGCTTATCCCTTATCGGCACCTAAAGCGCGTCTCCTTTCCAGGAACAATGCTTTCCGAAAGCAGTTCGTTCATGAAGGGCGTGCTGCTGGGAGGAATCTTCTGCGTAGTGGTCACACTTCTTGGACACGTGAAGATCGGCCATGGGACCAGAGCACGTCATCACGAGCACCATCACATTCAGGCTCCCAACAAAGAGGAAGTGTTAAATCTTTCAGAGGATGAACGACTGGAGCTCAGCCAGAGCATCCGCGTTTACTGCATCATCCTCGTGAAACCCAAAGACATCGGGCACTGGGCTGCAGTGAGAGAGACGTGGAGCAAGCACTGCGACAAGGCAGAGTTCTACAGCTCTGAGAACGTTAAAGTGTTCAACGCTGTAGTCCTCAACACAAACGATATGTGGACAATGATGAGAAAAGCTTACAAGATAACCTATGAGCGTTATAAAGATGAATTCAACTGGTTCTTCCTCGCCTATCCAACAACATTTGCGATTATTGAAAATCTCAAGTATTTCTTACTGAAGAAAGACCCTGCACAGCCTTTTTATATAGGCCACACTATGAAATCTGGTGACCTGGAGTACGTAGATGGCGAGGGAGGAATTGTCTTAAGCATTGAATCACTAAGACGACTCTCCCGCGTTTTTGAAGACTCTGACAAATGTCCAGAACAAGGCGGTATGATTTGGAAGCTCTCTGAGGACAAACAACTCGCAGTATGCCTGAAGTATACCGGAGTGATTGCTGAAAACGCAGAGGACTCCGAAGGAAAGGATGTTTTTAACACCAAATCGGTCAACGCTCTCATTAAAGAGGCAATGGCGAGTCGGCCTGAGCAGGTGGTGGACGGCTGCTGCTCAGATATGGCCATCACTTTCAACGGGCTGTCTCCCAACCACATGCACGTGATGATGTACGGCGTTTACAGGCTGCGGCCCTACGGCCACGCTTACAGCGACGCGCTCGTCTTCTTACCCCCTGCAGGTTCAGACAATGACTGATGTCCTTCAGAGAGGAGATGGGACCAAGGAGGCAGCTGTTCTCGTGGCACGCGTTTGTACAGACACTCAGTTTTCTTACCCAATCACACTCGTGCACGTTTTTTTTGCACAAAGATTTGGTAAAGCTCTTAATTTTAAAAGAGACAGTTGAAAGTTCTCCTTCCAAAGTCTTTTATACAGGAACGATTCTGGCTTTTTGACAGTGCTGGAATGAACAAAAAAGAGTTGTCTGGGATAAAAGGAAATTAAGTTTATGGGGGGGAGGGAAGGGCATTGTATATCTTAGTATTTATTAATGAAAAGTCAAAAGAACTTTAGTCTGCTATAAATATATTTTTGCAAGATTTTGATTCTCTCAATTCTTCCAGACACTTCCAGAATGTCTTTATATCTTTTTAAGAGGAATCAATAAAACTGACTACAGATTCAGTCTGAAAGACCAATTTTTATGTGATTTCCTTTATGCTGAAGCATAGAGCAGCTTGAAATGTACTGGTTAAGCAGCCCGTAGGTGCACCTGTTGCTTTATGTGCAATCTCCTAACTCAGGAACAAGCTAGCAGGAAGCAACTGACAGAAGAAATCTGTTAAGTTAATGCAGAATAATATTAAGCAAACTTTAAACTGCCTGCCTTAATCTCACAAAAGAACAAGATAACTACATTTGAATATTAGCATTACATAAATATTAGCATGGTCAGGTAGCCTGTTAGCACAGAAGTAATTGTTCATTTAAAGCTGTTAAATAAGAATATTAGAATAAAAGTTCTACTTGTTTTCAGTGTTAGAGGTGCTAATAGTGTTTACACGGAAGAAGTTGGTTAGCTGTGAATGCAAGTATAAAGTACAGCTCTATTTACAGACCTTTCTGAACAGTAAGGTGCAGATAGATCAACATGCTTCCACACTCAGCCTCTTTGTTCACAATGCCAAACACATTAAGTGCACAAAAACATGTACAGAACTCTCAAACACTTTATGTGCATTTGAAATCTCAAGCTTTACACGTCACCTCGTCATGTTCTTTTCCTCCACCAGTAACAATTAAGTGGCAATAAACAGCACTTCGGTGTGTTTACTCCATTTAGAATCCACTTACCTGACCCAGACATGACAAAGCCTTAAAGTGGTACCACTGGTGCTACATTACCTATAGAAGAGCTTAGAAGACATAAGGTTGGTCTGCTGAAGAAAGCTGTGCTATCTGTAATTCTTCATCCTAGCTTTAGCTGCAGCAGGGGAGGAAAGGTTGTGAAAGAGCTAATCCGGAGCTGATCAGTAGCAACAGTATTTTCTTCTGAGCAACATTTTTTATTAAGAACGGCACCAAGGCAGCTACCACAGCTGTTTCAGAGGAGACTTGGGGACAAGACGGAAGAACAAGCAAGCCACAGGACTGACTAGCTCATTTTATGCACAAAGGAACCCCTGAGGCGCAAACTGATTCCCCACAGCACTAACAAATCAGCGAAGTTACGGCACAGCCTTGAAGATGTGTAATTATGTCCATCACTCTGAAAGGAAGGTTTGAGGGGACTCCACTTCTGTCTGCAATAGAGTGGTGTGGGATACAGTGGTAATTACATGCATTCTTTCAGATATACCTTATCATTTTCAAAAGCAGTCTTGTAAATGATTTTACAGGAGTAATGTAAGAGTAGCACACGTTAATACTTCAATCTCTTGTGTTGTAATTTGACTTCAGAATTAGATTGAGAACACCTCTGCCATACCTGCTGTAAAGGTCACAGAAATGAAACCTGCAGGGCACTGCACACAAAAATCAAGCCCTACCATTAGTAAAATACAAGTGTTAGAAAAGAGACTTAAAGTATTAATAAATACTTCCAGAGACAGAGTTATGAACAGTAGACCTTAATGTTTTCTTAGTTTATTGAATAATTCCATGGCACAGTCTGTTTTTCCATAGACACAGCTTTGGGTATGCAGTCACTGAACAAAGTGGCAGATTACACAGACAAACAGTGCTCTCTAACCACCTGTGCAGGTGTACCTGTGCAGCAGCTCCAGAAGCTCCCTTGGATCCCTTGTGAAGCTCCACTCGGCTCTAGGGCTACGTTTTGCTATCGTGCCTTTGTTGAACAGTGATTTTGTTTCTGCTCCTAAAGGTGCAAGCAGGGAGGAGTGCATCAGGCACCAAGTGGCACGTGCTCCATTTGGAGTATGAGCACCACTGCTGTAAATGCCACTGCAAGGAGAGCTGTACCAGTGTTGGTAGGTTGAAATTTGTTTATATTCTTAAGTTATGATCTAAGATAGAAGAATTTATAGTCCACAGGTGACTTTATGTTCTCAAATCCTATAGATAAATGCTTCTTCAAAAGAAGTGCTCCTGAAGTAAAATACTGAAGTTAATGCTGGTAATAAATGAAGTTAAAAAAAAAAAAAACAAAACACATTTCTCCACATTCAATAAACAGGCCAGTGAGATGTTAAATCAGAAGCAAAAAAATTCGGACGTGTTTTTTGTTGGGTTTAGAAACTGTACTAATTGTATTTCACATACATTTTACATTACTGCTTTAGAGGAGCATAAAAATGTAAACATTCCTTGTTTTTTTCCTCCTTTTCCTTTGAAATTCTGCTCCCAGTCCATGCAGGGTCTTTCCCACCAGATACCTTCAGTGACTGAGGACTCGGGTTTAAGACAAACCAATTAAAAACTGTAATAAAAAGAAATCTAGAAAACTATAGCAGCCTATCAGTACTTTTGCATTCACTTGTTTTATTTAGCATTGCCACAGAACAAAATAATTTGTACATTCAGTCACATTAAAAACGAGGAATTACAAAGCAGTCCACATTTAACCTAAGTGCATTCCCTTGGAGTAACACAGTTCCTTTTGTTTCACTTGTATGTCTTCATATGCCAAAGACCATCATTTAAATAGTGGATATTTTCAATACCAATCCCTTTGTTGACCTTCTCACTGTTGAAGAACAAAAGCACAGAAGTGTTTGGTTAATTTGGTTAATTAGAACACTACAAAGCACCACACTGGAAGTACAAGCTGGGCCTGTAAATGCAGGATGGGCAAACAGGAAACACGTCAGCAGTACAGAATTTGACCTCATGGTTACAAGCCTGTCACAGAACCAAATGCAGGTGAGCATTGGTGGCTTTGTACATCTGCATTTCTTTTGTGCTCATCTTTCTTTCCAGTTATGAATCCCATGGAAAAAAAGATCTACTTTTACCACAACAAACAAGACAAAACTAATCATTCTAGGGCAGAAAAGTTTAAATCCCCTGGGAATCAAGGAAAATACCTCTGTGTTAATTCCACCAATGCATCACTTATCATAACGTAAAATGATCTAGAGAGCACTGTTTCTCAATTTTCTGTTTTAGACAGTCACAGAAAACAGCACACAGCTGCATAGAGCAACACCATCTCCTTCTCCTGTCCAGTTTATGTTACTTCCCACAGGAATACAACATTCAAGTGAATTTGAAGTCAGGATTAGGAACAGCCAGGCTTTCAGTGATCACAGCAGATCTCTGCAGATGTAGGATGGGACACAGGCACTTACATCTCCTTCTCTCAACCTTTTCCTCGAGTCCATCAAAGGCACCACAAATAATTCAGAGAAATTATTATCCAAGTACAGGCCCAGGCTGCTGTGGTGCCATTCTACCCCTGTTCATTGGAACACACCCCCACCTTTCCCCTGTGCTTTCATTACTGCTTACAGCAGCACAGTGACACAGTACAGAGGATGACAATCCAGCTGAGAATTATCCCCACAAGAAAGATTGATTTGTTTTCATCAGAACCAGCTTTGTCACCCACACCACAGCTGGTGGAGCTGGAATCAAAGCAGCCCAGACCTACTTGGGTTGCTTTGTAAGATGGCTGCAAGATGTCACAAAACTCAAGATAACAGAAAAGTTTCATCTCCTAATTCTGGATTATCAGAATGCTAAGAACAATCTACATTCTTTTCAGTTTCATGCCTCCTTTTCATTTCACTCATTGTTTACCCCCAGTCAGATCTCTGTAGCTCACAAGAAGCTTAGCTAGCAAGGATTTTAGACAGGAATGCTGCATGTGGGTCCAAGGGAAATAAAAAAAAAAGAGAAAAAAAATAGAAACCAGCTGGTCAGCCCAAGTACCAGCAGGACTTCAGTCTCTGCTGCCCTTACAGGACAATAAATAAAATCCCTTGAACAATTTCAGCCTGCTCAGACCCAAATTCAGTCTCTTGCCCAGCACAGGCAGTAAATACTCAGAGGTATTTCTTTGTTCAGCAAAATCTCTGAGAAAGTACTATCAGAGCAAAAGAAATATTGACATTCAGAGACAGCACTGAAGATGTTTGTCTTAAAATCTATGTTCACATACAGTAACTATTTTGACTCCATTTGGTGAATAAATAACTAGGAAAGACACTCCTTGCCTCCTTCTCCCAGCTTAATGTTAATCAAAAAAACGAAAGCTTAAATAAATGCTACACATAAAAGAAACACACTGCAACAGTGATTCAATAACCTTGACAGTAGAGCTTAAATTACAAACTAAAAAAGAAATTACAAGATGGGACAAGCTATATTTCATTTTTTACACCACTTACATGTCATCAGCTGACATCTTCATGACTCCCACACATAATGCATGTTGTTTCCCCTCTGCCATTATTGCCTAAAAATTACCACTAAGGAAAACAGGGTGGTTTTTTTGTTGTTTTTTTTTTTTTAAGTTATTTCCAAAAAGTAAAAGCAGTAACAAGAAATTGGAGGAAATGACTTCACAAAAAAAAAAAAAAAGCATCAAACTCCCTAGTTGAACTTTTGGCCCTTCAGTAATTGTAGCTCTTTGAAGGTAAGCAAAATTAACAGCTGAGCCGCAGCGCACAGAACGTGAAGCACATATTTATGAACTCTGAATAACAATTACAAAACAATCTCCCACCACCACCCTCCAGATCTCCCTTCACACCTAACGCAGGGGAGCCTCTGCTGTTGTGGAAAAAGGCTGCAGCTCCACATGGGGCCCATGTTACATCACACTGCACAGAAGAACTGAGGCATATCTGAATAAATCTAGAAGATAATGGAAACCTTCTCAAAGCTTGTCAGCATGTAATACTGAGTGTGCATCTTCTCCAATCACATCCGAATAGCAGCAACAGCTGTAGAGGTTGGCATTGATGCTGAATTTGATAGAATCATAAAATGGTGGGACCACAATGCTCATCCAGTTCAACCCCCTGCTGTGTGCAGGTCGCCAACCAGCAGACCAGGCTGCCCAGAGCCACGTCCAGCCTGGCCTTGAATGCCTCCAGGGATGGGGCATCCACAGCCTGCTTGGGCAACCTGTTCCAGTGCCTCACCTCCCTCTGTGTGACAAACTTCCTCCTCAGATCCAACCTAAACCTCCCCTGTGTCAGATGAAAACCACTCCTTGTCCTGTCGCTATCCAACCTTGTAAAATACACTCCTTTCAAATGTTAGAAGGCCACAGTGAGGTCTCCCTGGATCCTTCTCCAAGCTAAACAAGCCCAGCTCCCTCAACCTTTCTTCACAGTAGAGGTGCTCCAGCCCTCTGATCACAGAACAGCCTGGGGTGAAAAGGACCACAATAATCATCTAGTTCCTTTCTCAGTAATGCATTCACTCCTTAAGAAATGAACTATGTTCTTCTATAACCAAAGGAGATAATTGTATTAAGGAGGCAGGGGAAAAAATTATTTTGTACTTCATCTCATTCTGCCTAACACCAGGAGTTCTTACTTCCCATCTAACCAAGCCCAGCAGGAACAGAGAATTTTGGGGTGGTTCTGAAACATCACAACAGGAAAACAGAATTCAGAACAATTTGAATCTTTCCAAATAACATTCAAAACATTGGCAAATCTTCTCAGATTACTAGTTATTCCACAAAATAATATTCAACACTGAAGTAATTAAGTTTGTGATCAGCTGAACATACACATACAAACTTAACTCAGCAAGAAGTAATTCCTAATTAAAGAAGGATACAACAACAGTGTCAACGGCAGCAGGGTAAAGTTTTGCTCCAGGAGATGTCAGGCCAGGACACATTATATTAGCTCCACTCAGTACAAATTTAATGGCTCCTTTATCAACCTGCTGATGTGGTAGAATAAATGGATCTAAGAGGGGAAAGACACAGCATTACAATTAATACATTCAGATAACAATATAAATAACAAAATAACAATTTGTTATCACGCTGGGGGAATTAGGTGTGCAATGTGCTGCATGGGCAGGAGGCTAGAAATAATTAGCAGCACACTGGGCAGCACTGTCCTGAACAAACACAGCTACTGTTGTTCCTGATTAAATCTTTGTTCTGAGAAGCAAAGGCTGGGAATCTGAGAACCAAACACAGGCCTATCCTTCCTGCACGTGCACACAGCCCTTCAAAAACTGTACCAAGCTTCCCCAAAGAAGACAATCACTGAAGGGACTCTAGAAATAAACACTTCAGAAGTAACGGGACAAAATACGGAAAGGCAGACACAGTTCATGAATGTCAGCTCCCAAAGGCATCCTCCAAGTCTGTGCAACAGCACACGGCTGTGCAAACATGGTTTGCAAATCCAGATCAGCATTTCACAGACAGCCAAAGCCATCCAAAGCAGACACAGAATGGAGCAGAACAGCAAGAGCAGAGATAAAGTAATGCAAAAAAATCACAATTTAAGAAGTAAAAACCACACAGTGTAAGTTCTAGAAGGAGATGAGCATCCACTGCATCACTGAACTGCTGGTTAAAGACAACTTTTGCAGTAAGAACCTACAAATATTTAAAGGCAGCAAGAAGGGTTTAAAAAAAGGCTTGAAACAACAGATAGGGTAACAGGATTCACAACAATAAATGTAGACTCCAATAGAAAAACCATCTGCACAAAGCCCCACAAGAATTCTGCAACGTAATACCTACAAATCAAAGGTCAGATTACTTAACATAGAGAATTACATTTATTCTGGAGAAAACAAGCCACACAGATACCTGAAACAGCAGTGCAAGTGCAGCTGGAAATGCATAATGCATCTTTAAGACCTGCAACGTGCACTACATAAATACTCAGTTGTACAGAAGTCTGCTTGATCCCCACACTCACCCCTCTGCTCCCACCATCACCATCCTCAGGGAACTTACATTTGTGAAGTAACCTTAGTGTTGGGTAAAAAATCCCTTCTCTTTGTCTGAAGAACAGCAATTCTCCATTCACAGTGAGGATTTCTATATGTTCATGACTGCAAGGCAAAAGAAATGTAACTTTAATAACTACTCAGCTCTTTTGTAAATCAAATGCATCACGTACTCTGGTCTATCTTGGCAACTGAGGATAATTAAGGCAGTCAATTATCAGGAAAATTTAAAACTAAAAATATCAGATGCTTTCTTCTTCAATAATGGCTTCATGCACTATTCCCTCTACTTAAAAGGTCTGCAGACAGACAGACAGCTGTTCACAAAAGCCAGCAAAAAAAATCCTATCCCCTATTAAAAAAAGTAAACCAAACAATATATGGAAATCCAAAATCAGTAATAGTAATAAAAACAACCTGGAAGCTATCTAAACAAGTTTGATTTCCTGAAGCCATAAAGCTGAATGCTTTCCTTCAACAACAAGGTAAGCCCAAGAGAGCCACCATACAGTTCAGATGTTTGCCACCAGGCATTCTCATTTTCCTCCAACACCCTACAAACATGCTTTCAAGAGCATGATGAGCACACATAAAATTTCTGGCTCAGTTATAACACACACTGCTATCTACAAGAACAGACTTATTCTTTTTAATACTCCTAGGCCATTCTCCCATAGAAAGTAAACAAGTACATGAAGCAACCCAAGCACATTGGAAGCACAGGTTAAAGAAAAAGAAACTTACCATCTTACTATTTTGACAGGGTCTTTCTTTGGCATTATTTGGTTTAGCCATGGTTCAATAACAGGAAACTGGTCTATCAGTTGGTTCTTAATACCTTTAATAACTGAAGTCTTCAGCTGGATACAGTTTGATACGTTCTCCTTTTCATCAAATCTGCCAAGCAAAAACATCTCAGAAACCACAGAATCCGCTGCCCGCCAACACAGCACTCACAAGGCATTCTTCAACAAATATATGCATGCCCTGCTTTGAGCACGGGCTTACATGGGCCGTGACGCCGGCCCTGGGCGGGGCAGGCAGGGTCACCCGGCACCGTGAGCGCGCCCACGGAGCCCCCAGCGCCCCACAGCGCCATTCACCGCCTCGCGGGGCGGCTTTCGCTGACCGCAGCACCGCTTACGGCCCTGGCCAGCCACGTTCTCACAGAATGGCCAGGGTTGGAAGGGAAGGGACCTCAAGGATCACGAATCTCCAACCCCCTGCCACACGCAGGGCCACCAACCTCCCCATCTAATACCAGACCAGGCTGCCCAGGGCCGCATCAAATCTGTTCCCGCAGCCCCCCGCCCGCACTCCGCATTATCACAGAGTTTCGACAACGCAACGCCCCAGATTGCCTTTTTTTTTTTTTTTTTTTTTTTTTTTTTTCCCTCTTTCCTCTGACACCAAGGGTTGGAAGGCAGAGCGCAAGATGAGGCTGAGGACGCACAAGAGGCGGCCGCAGGGACCGGGACCCGGGGAGGGGGGGAAGGGGCGGCGGGCCTCTCCCGCACCGCCCGGTCCCAACACTGCGGCGGACGGAGCGCCGGACCCATACCGGCAACCCACGGCCGGCCCCCCCCCGGCCCCACTCACTTCTTGAACATCCTGGGGCGGTGGGCGCCGGGCGAGCGAGAGCCTGGGCCGGGCGTGGACCGGCGGGCGCGGGGCGGGCAGCCGGGCCTCCGCGCTCCCTCACACGAGGTCCCGGCCCTCCCCTCCGTGCCAGCCGGAAGAGCCGCGCGCTTTACGGCCTGTCGCGCCGCTCCATGACAACGGAACGCGTGCGGCGTTACGGCACCGTCGGGACTACAACTCCCAGCAGGCCGCGCTGCACCTCTGCGCATGCGCACGGACGGCTGCTGTCGTCGCGCTGCGCGGCGTCTGGTTTTGTTCCTCGTAGCACGGCCGCGGGGAGACTGCGCTCACCGAGAGAGCAGTGTGCTGCTCGCGTGCCGACACGGCGCTCTTTTCCCAGATGCTTCACGATCACGGAGCCGGAAAGGACTTCAGGACACCCCCCAGTCCAAGCCCGCAATGCAGTTCCCTACAGCAGTGGCACAGCATGGTGTCCGTCAGTCTGAATATCTCCAAAGGAGAACCCCCACCCCCTTTGGCAGCTGTGCCACCCTCACACGAAGGTTTTTCCTCATATTTGTACTGAACTTGTTGGGTTCCAGTTTGCGCCTGTCACTGCATGCCTTTGAAAAAGGGCCCGTGCCCACCAACTTCAGACCTGCCCTTCAGATGAACAGCCATGAGATGCCTTCTCAGCCTTCTCCTGTGCAAGCAGTGGCCACGTCCCTCAGAATGACAGAATCACAGAATGGCCAGGGTTGGAAGGGACCTCAATGGTCATGAATCTCCAATCCCCCTGCTACAGGCAGGGCCACCAACTTCCACATTTAATACCAGACCAGGCTGCCCAGGGCCCCATCCACCCTGGCCTTGAACAGCTCCAGGGTTGGGAATGCCAGCCATCAGCCCACGTGGGCCCAAGTGAAGACAAGCACAGCGTTCATTGGAATCAAAACGTTTTGCTTCATGCCAGCTGCGGTAATTCCATCTCCAGTACACAGAACAGCTACTCATCTCTTTGAAAAGCAGCCAGGAAGGGGTTTGTTCTGCAAACAGCTAAGTGCCATACAGCCATACACACTGACATCCAAATGGAAACGTCACTGCTGGTGTGAAGGATGTGAAAGATCAGGTCACCATCCAAGCTCCTTTTCTATGGCAAAGCAATGAATCAACTGCGATACTAGAATAACTAATTAAAATGCAATACTTACAAATGACAGCAGCCATGCAAAGTAAAATCACAAATAGCATAATTTATTCAAGTGAAATACAGTCAGAACACACACAGTGTTAAAGAAAAAAAAAACAGAAAAGGACAAAACATGATACAATACTGACGCACATCATCAACAAACACTTAGACACCTTCCCCCGAGTTTCATTGGGAAATAAAGCAAAGCCACAGCGGCAGTCCCAGCACAGCACGGCACGGCCCCGACCGGTCGCCACCCGCTCCCACCCGGCGGGGCCTTCCTCTGCACACCGACGGAGCTCCTCGCCAGATCGGACGAACGCAGCCGTGAGCGCAGCCGTGAGCGCCCGCCCCGCCCCGCCCCGCGCATGCGCACAACCCCGCGCGCGGACCGGACGTCAGCAGCGATCGCGCCGCTGCGGAGCGCACCGAGGGCCGTTGGCCACGCCCACTCCCCGTATGCCACGCCCTGCGCCGGCGCGCGAGGGGGTCCGGCGGGCGGCCGTTAGAGCGGCCGGCAACCATGATCACTTCCGGTAGGTCAGAGGGCAGCGAGACGGCGGCCGGGGAGAGGCGGCGGAGGCAGCAGCGGGGCCGAGCGCGGGATCGACAGGAGGGGCGGTTGGGAGGAAGGGCCTCGCGGGTAGGGTCGCGCCGCCGGGGCCGAAGCGGGGCCCGTCTGGCGGCCGCGCCCCGGCATGCACAGCGAGCGGATGCGCCGCCATCTTTAGGCTCCCTCCCCGCCCGCACTGACAATAACAAGCCCCGGGCCCGGCCGCCCCGGCAGCGCCCCGGCAGCGGAGAGGGGCGGGCGGGAGCCGCGCGGGGAGCGGGCGGCAGGGGCCGCGCTGAGGGCCGCGCCGAGGCCGGGGCGCCGGGGCCGCGCTCGGCCCTCCAGCTGCCGTTCGGAGGAGGAGAGGTGGTGGCGGGGCCGCGGGGAGCCGCCGCGGCCGGTGAACGGCGCTGAGGAGAGCCCGCGGGTGGCGAGAGGCGGGGGCGGAGGCGCTGCCCTGAGGGAGGAGTGGCGGCGGGAGACGGAGGAGAGCCGCGAGGAGAAAGAAAGTCGCAAAGAGACGGGGAAGAGAGGAGAGCCGGTGGTTCCTCCGAGGAATAAGAAGGCGAAGGAGGGGGAATTCCGAGGGACTCTGTCGATACGGAGAGAGCAGTTAAAGGACTCCGCTGAGAGACGCCGGAGGCCGACGCTGAACCTCTCTCCTCTTTGTCGTACCGCCAGGATTTGGTGCCCCTCAGCCTGCTCATTTCTGTGTGTTCATGTTTCCCACAGGTTTCTCTTCCCCCAACCCCTCCGCTGCAGCTCAGGAGGTCAGGCCTGCCACTGATGGTAGTAGCGGCAGCAGCTCCTCCTGCAAGAAGAGAAAGTTAAATAACAGCAACTCCGAAAGAGAGGAATTCGATTCCATTTCCTCCTGCTCCTCATCTCCTTCCAAAAACAACTCCTCCTCGTCTTCTTTGGTCATCACCGCCTCTTCGTGCTCCTCCTCAGGGGTTGCCTCCTCCAACCATCACCTCCAGAAGAAGCTGCGCTTTGAGGACTCCTTGGATTTTATCGGACTCGATGTGAAGATGGCTGAAGAGTCTTCCTCCTCCTCCTCTCCCGCTGCCTCTTCTCAACAGCAGCACCAACAGCAGCTCAAAAATAAAAGCCTTTTAATTTCTTCAGTGGCCGTAGGGCACCACGCCAATGGCCTGACCAAAGCTGCCTCCTCTACTGTGTCCAGTTTCGCCAACAGTAAACCTGGCTCCGCTAAGAAATTAGTGATCAAGAACTTTAAAGGTAACAGCCCGTAATTCCTCACAATCTCTGCGGAGCTGACGCTCAACTTTGTGTTTTGTTTTCAACGTGAAAACCGGTTGGCTTTCAAATAGCTCCAGGTTTTACAGGAAATGCTTTTCTGTGGTAAACGTTCCTAGACTTATGTAAAGGGGGGGGTTATGTTGATGATGCATCCCTGCCCGATCACGTGCACATCCTGAGCCAGACTTCCCTGCCTGGGCTTATTGTTCTGACCGTGTTCACTCTGTTGAGGAGAAGGCCCTGTCTAGTATGTCAAAGGAAATGTTTTACTGCCTAAGTGTGTAAATCACCTTTGATCAAACTTCTAAAGTTTGAAAACACTTTTCCAGTAATCCTGACTCAGGGTGTACTGCATGTTTTAGCCTTGTTTATGGTAAGTCTTTGCAAAATACGCTTTAAAAAAAAAATAGACTTGGATCTACATGTCTTGCCCATGTGTATTTTGTCTGTTTGTAGGTTAATCTTCTTGTGCTTAGTTTTAAATGTTGAAACTAATGTGATTATCCAGCTATTAAGGTGGATTTCCTTTCTGCTTCCCCTACTTGACTTCAAAGTAGGTAGTTCAGACTTCTGCAGGTTATTTTTCTTGCAGTATGATCACTGCCATACTAACTGTTTAATTTTTTAACATCTTTTTTACTTTAATGCATTCTTCCTTTTTTCTTCTCAAACTCACATTATTTTGTAAGTTCTCAACCAACATGATGGAGATTTTCCAGTGTTGTTACTTGAGACCAACTCAAGCAGAGAAATGAAGCTTTCTGATGTGAATGCTGCATGATATTCTAATGAACAATACTGAACTAGGTGAAGGCAGAGAGCCTAGCTAAAATTCTGTAGTTTTTACCCTTAAAATATCTGAAGATTGTGAGATTTTCTTGTTAGCCCATTCTTCTCTTTTACAGTAATCCGAAAACTTACTTTCCTGAGTGTTTCTGTTTTTCTTTGCGTGTTTGGATAGGAGAAGAGAGGACTTAAAGATCTGACAGAGATTAAAACTTACTTCTAAAGGTGCAGTCAATACAAATGTTCTATAGGGATAGCACAAAAGGTGACAACCAGGATTACCTGAACCACTGCAGTGTTCCAGTGTGACTCCTTGCTTTAAGGACCACCGAACTCTCAAGAATGTTCCTGGTCCGTTTCCATGCTGCCATGTCACCATCTGTTCATTTGGTTGTTTTAAAACAATACGTGGTTACATGATGATGAGAAATAAATGCCACTGCTGTGTGTACTCCCTTAGTTTTAAGAGAAGGCGACTTTTCACACTTAAAATATTAACTACATGGCGTGGATGGCGTGGAGCTGCAATCATCATTGCTTATGAATTGCTCTTGGAGTCGCTTCCTTAAAAAGAAGGTCTTGGGAATCTGCATCTCTGGTTTTTATTTATGCTCACATGCCAAGATGACTAACAATCGTAGCGTGCTTTGTCTGCGATAGCAATACACATCCTTTACAACTTCCTAAGATTCAGAAGCTTGGTGTTTACTCCTGTACGTCTTATTCATTACAGGCTGGTGAAAATGAGCAAGTCCCCATTTAGTGAGTTGTCCCTGTGTGGTAGTCAGTGTTGGGATATTACCAGTACTGTAGGGAAGTGTATGGGGGGGAAAAGTAAACAGAAGTAGCATTTTTTTTTTTAATCCCCAAGAGAAATCAGAGAGTTTTGAGGTGTTTGGTTGTTTGTTTGTTTTTTACTTTAAATTTGCAGAAGTCTGTTTGAATGCAGTCAGCTTCACTTGTTGGTGACATTGATATGCATCTGACTTCCTAATTTTTCTCCTTTTCTCATCTGCATTTGGGAACTTCTGTGACCCAACAAAAGGGGTCACTTGAGCAAGCTTGAGAACTTGTAATTTTAAAATAGTCTGGTTTTCTGAGAATGTGACACGGGTAATCTTCTTCATCCCGTGGTAATTGCTCTGGTCTTGTTGTGGGCTCTGCATAGCAGGGCCTCTCTGGAAAATCTGCAAACGCTTGAGCTGTGTGAGCATTAAAAGAGGCCTTCACTGTACAAATATCCTCTGGCCAAACCCAAGAGAGACATAAATAGATTAGTTCAAAATCCAGAGATTTTCCTTGTGACCGTAAAGCCTGTATTACACCAACTATTTCTATGCACGTTTCTTGAGAGTTTCTTTCCAAGTTAATGCAGAGTTGAATTCATGTATTTAGTTAAAAGTATGCTGTACACAACTCCTTATCCCTTAATCCATCGTTTTCAGCTTTTGTTGTTCTGTTGTTGTTTTTTTCCCTGTTACCTGTACCATTCTGGTACCAGGAAGGAGTGTAATAAAGATACAGAACAACCTTCCTGGGTTTTAGAGCTCCCCGTGTTATTTGGATTGGTTTTTATTTGTATTTTTCAATACAGTCACAGGCTGTTAGGGCTGCTGGTGTTGTCATGTGTGTGTGAAGAGTAATGCTGGATTTATAGTGTGTTGCCATTTCAAATGCAAGAAGCTGCTTTTGCCTTATTGCTTTCTTTTCACATATGAATTATAAGCTAGAACATCAACTTCTACTTTCTCTTCTCTGAGTTAGATTTGTGCTTTTGGTAAAAGGTAAAATATTTGACTCTTGTTAAATGCTTTCTCAAACTCTATAAAATAATTCCTTTTCAAGATAAACCCAAATTGCCTGAAAACTACACAGATGAAACCTGGCAAAAACTGAAAGAAGCCGTAGAAGCAATCCAGAACAGTACTTCCATTAAGTACAACTTAGAGGAGCTCTATCAGGTGAGTGCTTCAAGTAGAAGTGTTGAGAGGAGGGATTTTCTTGATGGTTTGGGGTTTTTTTGGTGTCTTTTCCTGTTGTTGTTTGATCTTACAGTAATGGCAAGAACGTGATGTTTTGTTGATAAATAAGGCAAGTAGCTGCATTTGGGTCTTGTGATGTGTTAGCTGCTAAAGGAGAAATATGGAAGTGCTCAATTGGTGGTGTTTAGGTAAGGAAAAGATTTCTTATAGCTCTGATTGAGGCTCAGAAGGAATTCATTTGAAAACCAACATTTTTTGTTTGCCTTTTTAAAAGTAAATACAATACTGTCGTGGTTCAGTTTGTAATTGCTTGTCATTCAGCATTATGTCCAACAACTCAGAGCTCACTTCTGTTTGTTTCAGCAACAGCTCTGATTGTTTTGCCCTAAACTTTCGAGGAAGTGATCGGTCTTAAACTGCATCTCATAACCTTTTATTTATAAACTCAACTTCTTTTTTGGTGGATGGGATAAGGAGACTTTTCTTCCTCCTCACCTGCTCTGAACTTAGAGTTTTAGTGGCATTACTGCTGAAGCTTGTTATAGGGAAGCACTCTAATTACTTTGAAAGCTTTTATTACCTTGTTGGTTGCTCTCTGTTTCTGTAGATGTCGTTCTGTTCACCTGGTTTTGAGTTCTTCCTCATTCCCTCCCCTTTCTGATAAACACTGTATTAGATTTGCCTGGTTTCTGTGAAAAGCTTGGGACAGAAATGCAGTTTGCACAAGGTTTGGGATCAGATTGAGGGAAAAATAAGTTGTGTTCCTCGTGAAACCTGGATCCTCCCAGGCCAAGTTCCTTGGTCTGGTGCATTTTTAAGGTTATTACACTTTTATAATGCTCACTGGTGAAACTAATAACAAAGTACAGGCTGCATTGGCTTGTGTTTAAAATAACTTGCCCTGGACTGAAGAGCAGAGCAAATAACTGCCAGTCAAGTACTGCAGTGTGTTCGAAATGGCTTAAAGATGCAAGGTTGTTAATACAACTTTGTATCTGCTGTGATGTTGCCACTCCAGTCCTGCTGGTTTTTGTCACAGCCTTAGCTTTTCATGACTCTTCTGCTCACAGAAAAGGGTAAGATTTTTCTTTTTAATCTGTTTTAACATCATAATAATGTAGATACCTTTCGAGAAAATAGAGTGCAGTCAGGTATGACTTTTTTCCTGTTCTTTTTATAAATCTAAAAGTGTTGTGATTTAAAATGATTGGGAATCACCGGTGTTTTTAGTGCTTACTGATGTCATTTCTGAGCAACTGTTTGGTAAATGGATCTGATTCCAAACGTGCCTTGGCAGACACCATTATCCAAGCATAGAGGAAATTGCAGAAGCCTGCAGAAGTTGTTGCTGCACACCTCAAAATAGGGTGCCTTTTTTTTTAGTGGAGTTGTTTAGTTTCATTCTTGTCTGTGATGGAAAACTTCACCAAGCAAACACTGAGGGTTTGTTTGGTTGTGGGCTGTTAGTTTTGCACTTGCTTTGTTCCCCAACCAAGAGGGGAGAGAACACAGCTGTGAGCAGCTGAAGTTCTGTGGAATTGACTGCTGCTTTATGGGAAAAAGCCTTTTGTTAATACCAGGAAGTAAACATCTAGATCTTTGGTACTTTATCTTTGGTACTATATCTATAAGATCTTTGGTACCATATCTATAATTTCTTTTTTTTTTTCCCCCTCTAAACTAATCACACTACTTCTGGGAAGTTCTGAGGTTCCTTCATCAAAGCAGTGCTTGTTTTGTTCCTGCTTTCCCTACCACAAACCCTCGTTTGGATGCTTTAATTAAAAGACTAGAATTCACCTTAAATTCATGGATTCAGATATTTTGACCATCTGTAAGACGCTGATGAAAAGGTTTTATTTTGGTAATTCAGAGTAAAACCACTTGATGAATTACAGCTACTAAAGTTATCAGGGATTCCTTGTGTAGAATAATGTCTTGTAACTCTAGCAATAAAATTGGCAGTAGTGTTGCAGCAGTGTTGTGCTTCATAAAGCAAATCTGCTAAAACTTTTGCTTGTGTGCTGAGGAAGTTTGTCCCCTTAAAAATCCTCATAATAGTGCCAGTAAGTTGGGCAGAATTCACAAATAAAAATATTTTTATGGTTGTTGCCAACAGAGATGCGGAACGTTTGTATTTGGTGTTCCAGCACAAGCCTTGAGTTTGATGTTTTGGGATTTCTGATGCACAAATGGAGAAGCACAGCTTTATATGAGCACTGTATAAAAACAAGCAGGTGCTCATATCTGCTAATAGGTGTGTTTTTCTGTCTGCAGCAAAAAGGCCAAGCTCTCGAAGGATTTTGGCAGAGTGATTAAATAGCACTTGGGTTGATAGGCAGCAGTGAGGAGGATGTTCAGCTGAAGTGGCTGAGCTGAGCAGGAGCTCTCACCTGCTGCTCAAGTACAGCAGAATCGCTGCTGGCGTTGGAGTGCTGGTTAGAAGTGAGGCTGGGGGGCTGTGCGGGCAACCAGCAAGTCAGAAGCATCCATCTTTCTTGCTCTGTTGCTTCTCCAGCTTACTTTGGAGAAGTCAGTTGTCTGCTTAGTGGAACTTGAATCAAGTCTCTTTAAACTTGGGGTTTTCAATCATCTTTTTCTTCTGAAATCAAAGCAGCAAATAAGCAGCAGCAGGTTGTGGGAATTAATGTTGAGCCTACCCCTACAGGTGGTACAGCACGACAGAGTTGCTTATCCTTCACAACCTACTCTGAGCTGTAGTCTAGAATGTGTTCTGTTGTGTTGTTGTATTTGTTTGGGATTCTTTATGTGTTAAGTCAGAGATGAATTTATTGCTGTTTGCAGATACTAAGGTCTGTGTATTCTGACAATTTCTGGCTTTTTTTACTAATCCTAATTCAGATGTCCCACACCTGGCTCACATTTCTGTGCGTTGATGCTCAGAAGATGCTGGCTCAGCTTTAATGCCATGCTTACTCTTGCTGTACCTGTTTCTTTCTGATGAGCTTATGCAAGTTTGATTTTCCTGTTGGCAGTGTTGGCTGGGTTTTATTTTGTTCCAGCTTTGCTGTGTCACAGAGCCCATATTTACTGATTCACTTGTGCTGTCTCCATCAAGAAGTGCTGTGTACCCCAGCAGTGATTACCAGTTGCACAACAATAACCAAAGCAGTGCTTGTAACAGTGGCTGTTAGCTGTTTGACAGTTTGTGTGAGCTGTTAGCAAATATTTGAGGGGGCTTCAGTGTAATGGAACAGGCATGCTCTGTACACTGAAATTAATAAGCACTTATGTTCTGAGCTGCTCAGGGCACAGCTCTCCTTTGTCTCTTACCATTGCAGTCACTTATCTCTGGTGTTTGGCATGCAGATGTTAAGTGCTGCAATCAGAAGATGATGGACTTGGAGTGAGAAGCAGCATAATCCCATGTCTTTTATTTTTTTCCTTGTAAAACCACATGTGAGAACACAGACAGACTTCTTACTGTCGCTTTCTCTTTATTGCAGGCTGTTGAAAATCTCTGCTCCTACAAGATTTCAGCAAACTTGTACAAACAATTGAGACAAATCTGTGAAGACCACATTAAAGCACAAATTCACCAGTTCAGAGAATATCCTTTTTTAGCTGTTGACAAGCCAAAATGTTTTTACCTGCCAGTATGTAGTGATGGATTTCTCTAAGTAGTTCATGACACTGAGCTATGGTGAGCTGAATTCCTGGTTTTTGCATAGTTGGGTCTATTTGTGTTTTTGTAGGACCTCACAAAGACCAATTCTGGTTCCTGTGTATCTGTGACCACCTGCAAACTTGAGAAAGTTTCATTGGTACTTAGGAAATGTTTTGACATTTTGTACAAGTTCAAATTAGACTCTGGAGTAAGACTTCAAAGACTGTTTGTTGTGTCACGTGCTCAGATTGCCTTGTTCAGGTAAAAAGGAAAGTTGGAGCAGCTAGTTCCTGTCTTGTTTGAAAGGTCCTACTGGTCTGGGCTGGTACTGCTTCTGAGGGTCAGAAAGCTTCATCTGGAGTTGCATCAGAATGAGATCCTGTTAAGTGGGTTTGGGTTGGTACCAGAATTATGCTGCAGGCTGAGTACAGGTAGAATTTTGAGGACAAATTTTTATCTCCTGATGTTTCCTATTGATATGAGCTGAAGTTACAGCACCTATATGTAGTGGGGCTGCTCTAAAAGTAATGCCTTCTATTTTATGGTGGTGATGGTACAGCAGTAGAGGCTGGGCCTTCCCACCAGGTCCCATTACATTGTGTGGCTGTGTGACAGATGGCAGCAGAGGGGCACTGACAGAATGGCATCTGACATGGGAGTGCGTACGGAGCGAAAGGCTGGGACTGAATCCCTTCATGCAGGGAAAAAAGGCACCCACTGGCATGCATTGACACCTGCTGAACACTGATGGAGACCAGACAGTGGATGTGAGCACAGCGAGGGCTGGGTGGTGCATTTCAGCAGCAGTGACAGAGGTCACCTGGTGCAGGTAGTTATGTGCAGGCTCTTGTTCATGGCTGGTGCAGGTGCAGAGCCAGTGGTGGTGATGATTGAAGCACTGTTTTGTAGCTGTGACTTTCTTTTATCATGCTCTATCAGCTGGTGTTACTGTGCTCCTTCTGGTTGTTTCTGTGGAAATAAATAAGAGGCATTACTTTTGGAGCAACTGGTGTATGTTGTGGATTATTGGAGCTTCAAGTGTGTGGGTTTTCAGTGTTCTCTGCGTGTCTTCTCCAAGCTGGGGTGTTGGACAAAACATTCAGAAGTATTTAGTTTTTAAAACAAAGAAGTTGGAACTGTTTGGGTTTGTTGTTATTGAAAGCAGTTTGTTTATAACACGGCCTTCATTAAAATTAAACAACTTGAAAGAAATTAGGTGCTTCTCCTTGGTAATAGGTGAGTTTGTTGTACTGTTATGTGTTTTTTGTTCTGTTTTAAGTTAAGCTCAATGCTAATGCAACCTATTAATCATAATTTTCTTAATGATTTCTGCACGGATTCCTTGGATAGTGTTCTTTTTCTAAAGAAAATAGACAAATGTTGGCAAGATCACTGCAGACAAATGGTAAGTTTTTCTCTTTGGGAAGAAAAGCAGTTTTCTAGTCCAGCTGATGCTTTACTTAATTCTGTTCCCTTACCAACACGCTGTGCTTCTGAGACATTATCTTTCATTTTGATAAGGCTTCTTTGTGAAATACATTGTATCTAGTACATAGGGAATAGAGCCTTGAAAATACAGTAGTGTATTTCTTGATATGGTGACACTGGAGCAGGGGGTGGCCAGTGCAACTCGGAACAGTTATTTTCATGCAGGCTGTTTTCTGCTTGTACCTATTATGAAAGAAGCTATTCTTTTCAGGAGAAGAATGCTGAGTGTCACATTGAATGGCCCTCTGGGATTGGCAGCGCGCTCTGAACAAACTGCCTGAAACCTCACTTGGGGATTTCTTTGTTGTTGCCACTGAGCATCATTTGTTTTGCTCCTCAGTTTCGAGAGTGGAATAATTGTGGGTTGTTTTTTTTTTTTGTTTCTTCTCATACCAGATTATGATTAGAAGTATTTTTTTGTTCTTGGACCGAACTTACGTACTTCAGAATTCGATGCTGCCATCTATTTGGTAAGGGCACAGAGAATAACATGGTGAGGGGGTTATTTAAGTTACCACTTGTCTGGCAAAGTACTTTCCACTGACCTGAAACTGGATGGTGAGGACACACCTTCTTCATTTTAATGTCCTTACGGTGAATTGCAGATTCTTGTAGAATAACTGATAGAAAGTCTCAGCTAAGTAGATACCAGCATCCAGTTTGTGCAATATAAAGCATGTATTCATGTTCAGCAAACGAAGTGCCAGGGTTTGGCTTGTTTGGGTATTGCTTTTTACACGTGTGGTAGTCATTGAATGTTTTTGAAGGGGAAAAGTTACCTGAAATAAGAGCAAGTTATTCTCTCTCTCTTGTTCTAATAATTAAGCAAATGCCCTTCAATGCCATCACCATACTGTGTGTTTGGTTCTTGACTGGGAGCTATACTATGTGAATTACTTTGCCACAGAATGAAAGAATGATGGATGGAGGGCCTGAATTTTCTACAAGTGTCCAGAATCACATTTCCAAATTCATGGAGCTTTTGAACTGAGATGCCTAAAGCTGTGATCATTCCTTGTCTTTCAAATCACAGAGTTTTTCTAAGGGCTGCTGAAGAGAAATAAAGATTAGGAAGTGATGGACAAAAAGGGATATTGCCCAACAGCTCATGTATGGAAGTGAGGATGATATTCTCCTTTCCTTGTAGAAGCTGCTGTTCAAACAGTTTTGTCATCTGCCAAGTAAAAAAGAAAATGCTGTAAAAGTTCAGTGATTATTTAGGAAAAATGTGTGCATTGGTCTTCAAAATCTGTCATTTACTACTGGTGTGTTGTCATTATTAATTTCAGTATGCATGTGTTTATCCACCTTAAGTGATTTGGGGGCAGAGGAATGAGGAATTTGGAGAAAGCTATTGGGCTCCCTGTTAGATCTAGGTCTTGCTTTATTAATGAATTATTCAGAGGTGATTCTTAATTTATTAAATAGTTTTTATTTTCTTTTTAGGGATATGGGGCTAGAATTGTTCAGGACTCATATAATCAGTGATCAGAAGGTTCAGAACAAAACAATTGATGGCATTCTTCTGCTGATTGAGAGAGAAAGAAATGGTGAGGCTATCGATAGGAGCTTACTGCGAAGCCTTCTGAGCATGCTTTCTGACTTGCAGGTGAGTAAACTTTTGTGCTAACTGTAAATCAATAAATGTCTTACTCTTATTTAGTGCTTGGTAAGCTTTACCTTGGCTCGTTGTGTTGTTTCTCTAGATTTATCAAGATTCTTTTGAGCACAGATTCTTGGAAGAAACTAACCGTCTGTATGCAGCAGAAGGACAGAGGCTGATGCAGGAACGTGAGGTATTTTGAATGCTTAATGGTATTTTATTATACCTACTAATTGAGTGCTTTTCAAGGGGAGGAACTGTTCTGGTGCATTACGTAGTGTGTTGGGCCATACTGTGCCTTGCATGTTTATCATAGCCTGAAAAGCAAATTCACTTGGAGTTGCCTTCAGAGTGCTGATGATTGCCCCTTCCAACTGGATCTGTTGCTGCTGTCAGCCAATATTACTGATTTTTTTTTTTTTTTTCCTCTCTTGATTTTTAAAATATACAAAACTATGCTGGCATTTCCAGGTTCCAGAATATCTTCACCATGTCAACAAGCGCTTGGAAGAAGAAGCAGACAGGATAATCACTTACTTGGATCAGAGCACGCAGTAAGTGCAATCTCTTTGGTTGGTCTGGCTCTTCTCTTGAGGGCCATCAGCTTGTTTCAGTCACTGACTGACTATCAAATGCTTCTTGTTCCCCAAAATTTCTTGGTTATGATGAATCACTGCCTTGGTTGACACATCTGATATTCTTTTTTTCTAAGCTGCTATTAATTGTGACTTAAAACGTTGTTGGGTGTCTGCTTGGAGGAACAGAGGCTGCCACTCCCGGTCTGAGCATCTTCCTGACATGCAAATAATCAGCTTTTATCTTACCTGAAAAAGATAGGGCCAATTTATTTGAGAGAATTCTCAAGTAAGAGACTTTTGATGCTTACACAAGAATATTTGCATGTTTGTTACGGAGTGTGAGATATTGACTAATGGCACCCTTCAGTCTTTGTGAGGAAATCCTGCCCCTGGATATAAACTAAGTGGAAGTCATGACTGTAGGGCACGAGGAACGTCCTTCTAACATAAAGCTGTGGTTGCTGTGCTCACCACTGTCATAAAACTATGAGCAAGTGTTAGCAACTTCTTAAAAAGCAGGTGCAGAGCATTCCAGTGAGGAAGGTGCTTTGCTGCTACAAGCTTAAATTTTGATTTATTACTTCCTTAAGCTGTTAAAAACTTGGGCTCATGTAGTGGCTTCCTTCTTCCACGCCGTTATCAGTGGCCACCTCCTTATTTTGTTTGAATACCTCTTGGCTCGTGAGATGTCCTTGTTTCCTGCCCCAAGGCAAATCTCCCACAAAGCAGGAAAAGGTGTATTCTTTCATAGACTTCTTGCTCAGCTTCTTCACTGATGGAGTCTTGGTCCAGCTGCTTAGAGGTCACTGCTTGCTTAATGTGAGAGTTAATTCCTCAGTCAACAAATGGAGGAAAAAAAACATTTACTGAGAAGGAAAAAGGATAAATGTGTAATTCTAAACATTTTCTTCTATAGGAAGCCACTAATTGCTACTGTAGAAAAGCAACTTCTAGGTGAACATTTAACAGCCATTCTCCAGAAAGGTAATCTTTCCTCTTTATAGAAATGTTTCTAATTATTGCTTGGGGCTTTCAGTTCTTGTACTGGGGGAAATAAAAAAAAAAGTGACAGGTTCAAATGCTGGGGCAGGGCTCAAGCTGACATCATTCTGTAATGCCCTTTGCAACTCAGTTCATGGAATAGCACTGACCATTTTGCAAGTAGGCAAGCATTGTTCTTCTTGTCAGGGCCACAGTGGTGGTTTTCAGATACACAGCAAAATAAAATGAAAACTAAATTGGGGTTTTCTTCAGTTCAATGTGTTAAGTATCATTTTGGACACTCAGAGGTAAGGGAGCAGCGTTTGAGTTATGGTTTTACCAGACAAGAGAAATACTGATTACTTGCTACTCATAAAATACAACTTTAAAAAAAATAATAATAAACTTGAGCTGCAAAGAGCATTGCAACAGCTCTGTAACAGTATCTGTAGAATCAGAATGATCCTTTGTTACTCTGAGAGAGGGTCTGGAGATAAATGTGGGCTCATCAGAAGTTGAGCAATGAAATGATCCGGTTCTTGCTTGCCAGATTCTGGATGACAGAGGTGTGTGAGCGTCTTTTTGCACATCTGGGGTAGATTCTTTGTTCAGAGCAATATCAAGTGTTTAGTATTTACCCAGCTACTTTTCTTAGAGCCTTTTGCCAAAAACTTTAAAGTGGAAGATGAAGTTATTTCTTGAAGCTTCTTGCCTTCAACCACCTGTGAAATTTATTTTTTCAGCTGGAATTGCCAAGAAACCTTTCCTACTGATCAGTAGAGCATGAAGTCCACAAATTTTAAGGGAATAGCAAAGCAGGAGCAGGCAAAAGTGGTGTGATGTGTGAATTAGCCTCAGAATCAGCTCAAGTAGCCATTCTGCATTTTACTCTTTCTGTTAGCTGGATAGCTTTGCAAACCAGGGAGGGGGAGGGAAAAAAAACTGATAAGAAATACCAGCACTGAGGAGGGCCCTTACTGCAGTTATAAGCTGTGCTCTCTTTGAATTACTGTAGGTTTGTAACTGCTGCTAAAATTCTCTTATTTGCAGGTTTAAACCACCTTCTGGATGAAAACCGAATTCAAGACCTGTCCCTTCTGTATCAGTTATTCAGTCGGGTGAGAGGTGGAGTGCAAGTTCTCTTGCAGCACTGGATTGAGTACATCAAGGTATTGTTTGTAGAGCTCTGGTGTTGATGGAATTTATACACAGATACTTCAGTGATCTCTGGAAACTGTTGCATCTGTGAGAATTAACAGCACTTGCTGATGACCATTTAATGTATGGCCTCTCAAATTCTACTGGGTAAAGAACGGTAACTGTTCGAGTCACGTTGAAGAAAACATCAACTGTTTAATTGCCAAATTGTGAACAAATTAGGAGTTATTTTGTTTACAGCTGATTGTGGGAGACAACTATATTTTGCCACGTGCTTTTTGATACTGACAAAACACTTCTCTCATCACCCTCTTAAAATTTACTGTCAGAAAAAAGTTCTGTATTTGTTACTTTGGTTTTGAGTCGACATACAAGTTCTGAGAATGATTATGTAGTAATTCATTTACAATGCTGTTTCTTCTGTTGTGTTAGTGCAACTTAACTTGAATATCAAAACCAAAGTATTACAGAGATAACTTAGGCTTTAGGAATGTTGTCATTTACATTCATTATTCAGGCTAATTGAAAAATGTTTTATTTTGCAGGCATTTGGTAGCACCATAGTAATTAATCCAGAAAAAGACAAAACCATGGTCCAAGAACTGCTTGATTTTAAAGACAAGGTTGACCATATTATTGATGTTTGCTTTCTCAAGAATGAGAAGTTTGTAAACGCCATGAAAGAAGCCTTTGAAACATTCATTAACAAAAGACCAAATAAGCCAGCTGAACTCATAGGTACTTTGTTTCTGTCTCTTCCCATGTGAGAATTTGGTGGGAGGGATGGAAGGAAGTTGCCAATGCAGCTTAAGGAGATGTGATGTGATGGAATTGTTGTGCTGTGCCTTAACACACAATGCATCCTCAGACTGTGGGATCTCTTGTGCTTTGTTATGCTGGTGAATTCTTGCAGAGGTTTCGGTTACAGAAGTGAAAGCTGTTAGCACTTAGGCATCCCAGCAGTTGACTGGCTTCCAGTTTTGAGAATAGCAGTAATTCTGACTTTCAGAACCTTACATAACTGAGCAGTTACCACGTGCACAGGGCAGTTGGGGCTCCACGTAGGTATTTGTCTTCATGTTTTTATAAAAGTGGAGAGAAGTGGCATTGCACTGAACTCATCTCCTTGGTAACAGAGCCTTTGTAGCTTACAAAGCAGGCTGCTTACATCTTTCTGTTATGTGTCTAGCTCTCTGCAACTGGAAATACCTTAATGGTTTGCCTGGATGGTGCCTAACACTGGCTTTGCTGCCTGTTGTGCTCTCAGGCTGGTGGCACGATGCTTTCTGCCCTTCTTTTTCACCTGCTTACCAAACAATTGGAAGCTAGACTGCAATCTGTTAGAGAAATTGGGTGGCATAGACAGTACATTGAAATACTAGTTTACATATTTCTTTTCTTTATCATGATCTTTACTAATACAGCCATGTTAACAGCAGTGTTGGCTTTGTGCACCAAGATTGTAATACAGACCAGAATTTCACATATACACAAAGATTTTATTTAACTGTACTAAAGTTAAGATGCAACAACTGCTTTTCTGAAAAGAGATTTATAACTAGCTGTGATTAAAGTAACCTCAAGATCCTTTAATTTCCAAAAGATTTAATGATATTAGATATAAAAGCAGAAAAACATTAAGGTACTGCTGCATTGTGATGCTGGGCGTGTGCTAAACTTATTCTTTAATGTTCTTTTAGCTAAATATGTAGATTCAAAGCTTCGGGCAGGCAACAAAGAAGCTACTGATGAAGAACTTGAAAAAATGCTGGATAAAATTATGATCATATTTAGATTCATATATGGTAAGTGTTCTTTAATCAGCAGCGTAAAGGTACACTGGATTCACTTTTGCAGTCTTTCTGCATTCTTAAGTGTACTGCTGTTTAATGAGTTAAAATTCCCGTTATGAGATCTGTCTCCAAATCTGTTGAAATGTCAACATCAAGGTCCTCGTTGGTTTTATTGAGCATTAAAGCCCCTTAATAGTAAAAAATGTTTATATAAAACCTTCAATGTTTTGTGATCGCTGTCAAATCTCATCTCTTACAGGAAAAGATGTGTTTGAGGCCTTCTATAAAAAAGATCTAGCAAAGAGACTATTAGTTGGGAAGAGTGCTTCAGTAGATGCTGAAAAATCTATGCTTTCCAAACTCAAACATGGTAAATACCTATGGTTCTTTCAGCCTTATTTGAAAATAGTCACTCTAATGGGACGACTCAGAAATACTGTTTAGATTTCCCTCTATATGGCAGCAAAGATCTCTTGGTGTTTTTTGAGGAGAATCATTTGCTTTAAATTTAGTAACTGTGACAGTAATAGCCAAAACCCAACAGTTTGAAGCTCATTCTGTATAAGAGTTGAGATTCCATGCAGAGCTTATCAGTGATGTGTTCAAACTTGAGGATGGCCTCTCGTTATTTCCTCCATGTGAGCTCAGTAAGATGAAGCTGTGGGCTGGCAGTTCTGTACTCTGGTCTTCATTGCTTTACAATGGAGTCTGGGGGGGGTAGCAGCATTTACAACTCGGAGACTTGTTCCACCATTGGGAGAGTTTGGCAGGAAGCTCATGAAGGCTGGAATAAAAGCCTGAGTGACAAATTGCCAGTGCAGCTGGAGGGGGAATGGTCTGTTTTCCTTGTGGGGAAAAAAGTCTGGTTGCAAGTAACTAAGTAACTAAAACATCCCCCCTTGTTGTTTGTTATTATCTTAATGATATCCAGATCTTTATTTAAGAACACTTGATGAAACAGATCATCCTGCCTCAGTATACATTCTTATACGTAGAGTAGCTGCTCTGCAGTATTTGATAAAAGTTCTTTTTATGAATGGATTTGTCTTTTTTTTTTTTTTTTTCCAAATACAGAATGTGGAGCTGCTTTCACGAGCAAACTTGAAGGAATGTTTAAAGATATGGAGCTTTCAAAAGACATAATGATACAATTTAAACAGGTACTGCTGAGAAGCCTGCCATGGCTCCTTCATTTACTTGTTTTTTGAGTGAGGTGTTCTCAGAAAGTCTAGTGAGAGATACAGAATGTCTTTAATTGTAAACATTTCTATTGTAATTTGAGTTAAACTCCTTTTGGATTATCCCTATGTTACTTACCTATAATATAAGTGATTGCTTTCTAAGGGAGTGCCCAAATATCTGACAGGGAAAGCAGTGCCTACTGAAACTCAGTGGGAGTTGATTTCTTAATTTGTTTCTGTACTTTTTGAAAATGTTGCTGAATTTGTTGGTGGTTCTCTTGATCAACGAAGCTGGAAATGAACTGGAAGAAGTAGTTTTTAAAAGGGGAAAAAAAGAACAGGGAAAAGAAATGTAATGGAAGAAGAACTGTAAAATTAAAAACATTTTAGTGCTAGTTAATAGCACTGTATGCTGATGGGACTGCCTCATAAGTTCAGTCATTTAAGCAGGTAACAATGCCTCCAGGCCAATCCTTTTGGCCATTACTTAGGGCAGTTCTGTACTGTTTTGCTTATAAGCAAAGGTCAACTTAGTTTGCTCAATTCACATGTAAGTAGGTGCATCTTCACATCAGCTTCCTAAAGCACTTTTGTTATTATCTTCCTGTAAAGCACCTTTAGAACATCAGAAAAGTGCTTTTTTTTATATTCTTCTTTTCCTCTACATAACCTGCATTTTATGCAGCAAAGATACCTCAGGGTTATTGCCTTCTGTGCTCTCATCATGCTCTCTGGCTAGCTTTTCAGTCCTGCTGAAAACACGTGTCACCAATACTGTTTTCTCTCAACGTGTTTCTTTCTGCAGTATATGCAAAATCAGAATGTACCTGGCAATATTGAACTAACAGTGAATATCTTGACTATGGGTTACTGGCCAACCTACGTGCCTATGGAGGTCCACCTGCCCCCAGAGGTAATGATATGCACCCACTATGCCAAGTAGCAACCTAACAGAAGTGCACCTTGGCTTCATCTGCAACTTGTCTTACTTGACTGCAGAGCTTTTAAAATAGAAATTGTTTGGTATCACGGCTTTTTTTTTTTTTCCTATTTTTTAGATGGTAAAACTGCAGGAGATTTTCAAAACCTTTTACTTAGGAAAACACAGTGGCAGGAAGCTTCAGTGGCAGTCAACTCTAGGACACTGTGTGCTGAAAGCAGAATTTAAAGAGGTGAGTCTCCTGTTTTTCTTATTCCCCTGGCTTTGCCAGATCCAAATATGGGTGTACCTTAGGAATGTATAGAGGTGTTTTTGTTCTCCGATGGCAAACGTAGAAGCCTTTTCATTAAAAACAAGTTTTGGAAGAACATAGCAGTTTTTAGAGAGCTTCCAACTATTTCCCTCTATCATCTCTCTGTGGGTGTGAATATATCTCAGGAAGATTTCCCTTGAGAGCTGCGAATGTTTGCTCAGTTTTATTTTTCATAATGTTAATGATGAAACAAGTATTATCCAAGCTAGTAATAGCAGCTGTGCTTTTGAACTAATACTTGTCTTACATTTTGGATTAAAGGTCTTTCAGATTGTAATTTTAAGCACACTTTGGATTTGAATTTGTCTGCAGTTGCCTACATTAGCAAATTTTCAGTAGGTGTGCTAGTCTAATCTGACCTCTGTCTTGCTCTGCATTTCACAGTAAACATGAGGAGATCAATAACTTTTATTCTTTCATATTCTAAAATGAATGAGGCAACTGCATCCTGTAAGAGAAATAATTGCCGTAGAGGAATGAGTTGATCCCCCTAAAACAGCCTAATGATGTCTGTTATTTCCTTTGTGATAGGGCAAAAAAGAGCTTCAGGTCTCCTTGTTCCAGACACTAGTGCTGCTCATGTTTAATGAAGGAGAGGAGTTCAGTCTAGAAGAGATAAAGCAAGCCACTGGGATAGGTTGGTACTAAAAACACTGACTGCTTCGAGTGTGTTCTTGAGTGAAGATACTAACCAACTTGTTTCTGCTTTAGAGGATGGAGAGCTGAGAAGGACACTTCAATCTCTGGCTTGTGGCAAAGCTAGAGTACTGACTAAGAGCCCCAAAGGAAAGGATGTGGAAGATGGTGATAAGTTCACATGCAATGATGATTTCAGACATAAGCTGTTCAGGATAAAAATCAACCAAATTCAGATGAAAGAAACGGTATATTTCTTGTTGTTTTTTCTAATAATGTAGGTATTTCATTCTTGGGCTAAGTATCTTGTTGCTTGCCCATTTATAAGCTTTATTCCTCTCAGTTGTAATGTCCATAATGGTATCTGTGTGAAGGATGCACATATATTTTGGATGATAGCACAAACTTAACAGTGGACATTTAAACACGAGCTTCTGTGCTAACTTAGAAATCCATCATCTCTAAAGTTGATCAGCAGAGGTTCCAAGTAGTGGATGCTCTGTTCACCTCAATCGTTCCCTAGAGCTTTCCTGATTTGTGAACAGATCCACTGTGAATTTGCCAGCTAATGTAAAATCTGTGCAAAGATTTTACTCCCAGCACGAGTTCTTACGACAGTGGACTTGCATATTTTGTAGGATTTGTGTCCAGTATTTTACAGTAGACATCTTAGTGTCTCACAATAAAGACTCGTCTTAGATATGAAGAAGAATGTATTCAACAGTTGTGTTCTCTTTAAAACTCTTCCTAAATGGATCCATCAGGTAGAGGAGCAGGCAAGCACTACAGAGAGGGTGTTCCAGGACCGGCAGTACCAGATCGATGCGGCCATCGTGCGGATTATGAAGATGCGAAAAACACTGAGTCATAACTTGCTTGTGTCAGAGGTCTACAACCAGCTTAAATTCCCAGTAAAGGTGCAGTACTGATTCCTTTTGTTTTTAAAATTTGCTCTCTTTGTCCTTTCACCTGTCCTCAGTTAAACGGTGCTTCTATCCGAAACGTGTTTCTTCTTTCCTGATAGGAGGAGCAAAAAATAGGTTATTTCAGGGTTCTTTAAGTGCCAGTTTCATTAGTTCATGTGAATGTTACCTCTAAATTAGTACAACATAGTAAAGGTTTTGAGAACTGGGAGTTTGTTAGTATGATGGTGAAGCCAAGCTGTTTGCATGTTGATGTTCTTCTGTTTCTCAAGTGTTGTGGCAGTGCAGTCTTGAGAGAATCGGGGCAACCGGTTCAGATAAGCAGGAATCATTTTGATCCTCGACTTAATCTGGCTGATATCATACTAATAAATCAGTAGCCAGTCAATGTACAGTGTTTTTTTCCAGACAGATTGTGTTATATAAAAAAAAATTATGGAATGGAAATTACATGTTGGTGTCTCAAAGTTAAAGTGGCCCACAGATGCAATGTGGGAAAGAATAGCTGACTGTGTATGAGTGCAAACTGATTTTCCAGAAGACAGTGACATAAAACTTAGATAACGTAGATTCTATGAGTCTCCGATAACATCTGAGCTCAGCTATGTGCTGCATCCCAGCTAATTCTGTAGCTTTCTCTTTAATTGCACATTGCAAACTTCAGCAGCTTTGTGTTGGGAGATGTTTCGTCAGTCATCTCAAACAGTATGGGTGTTTGGCTTAGGTAGAATTGAGAAGCACTGACTACAAAATAATAATGCTGACGTCTGCTTTAATTTACAGCCTGCTGACCTTAAGAAGAGAATAGAATCCTTAATTGACAGAGACTACATGGAAAGAGATAAAGAAAACCCAAATCAGTACAACTATATTGCATAAACATATGTTGGCCTTTGTTTTACTGCACACTCGGTGTCATACGCAATTGCCAGTGGATAAACTAGCCTGTTAATCCCGTTAATTGACTTTTTATACTACCGATGACTGAATGAAAGCAGTGTAATGGAGGAGAATAGTAGAGTGGACTTCTTTCAGTGGTTAACATGCCCATTTAAAGAGTACTATTTACATTTTAAGAAGAATGCTGTTGAACTCTTTGCATGTTATTTAGTAAGATGTGCAGGAAGCTGCAAGAAAGTATCTGGTCTTCGTAATTCCATTTGACTCTGGGTCTGAAGAGGAGAGTCCCTTGATATGACAGATGTCTTTCACACCTTTAAATGGAAACAGAAGGTTAATATAAGAAAATAGCCTTTAAAATGCTTAAACTGCATGCAAACTTTTAATTTACTGTACAGAATGCATTTCAGTTAGCAACATACCATTGGTTTGGATGATACCCACACGAGGGTTTTTCTCAAGGGGAGGGGAGATGGGGAATAAGCCGAGCTACGCTTATTGCTGATCTAGTGGAATCTGTTCTTGGTTGCAGTTAAGACAAAATGGTACCAATATAAAATGATTTATACAAGTTTGTAGTGTGGGCATATGTATACAAATATCATTCTTAAATAACTGCTACAACAAAACAAGTTCAGATTTGTATTTGTATGGCTTGCCTGTAAGACCTTAGTGTTCACCTTTGGGAATTTTAACATAAAACAGCCATAATGGAAACAAAAGTGACAGTTCTTACTGGACATGGGTAGGAGGCCTTCACCTCTTGGCAGCAATACTCTACAAAAGAGAATCTATTTAAAGGTATTTATGAAAAGCCACACTGTTCTTGTGGTAAAGCTATAAGAACAAAAGCTACAAATTAATTTTAATACTTGTTTTGTTTTGCAACATTCTGAACTTGAACAGACCTCAAGGTTTAGACAGGGCACGTAGGAGACTGCCCTGCTTTGGATTGCTTTAACTTAAAGCTTTAAGAACTCAGCCCTAGATGTGGCAGGCCTCCGAGAAACCCAGAAGCCTACCTCTCATACAGAAAGACAGCCAAGTATTGCTGTAAGGCATCTAAAACATCGTCTTAGGTGACCAGAGAGCATTCTTTACATCTGGATAAGACACGAGAGAATAAGTCACTTGAATGTAGAGCTTTTTTTCAACAGGTTGTTTTTTATTGCTATAGCAGTACGACAGGAATACATGGGGTGAAAAATGTCAACAGGAAAGGTAACTCCTCTACGTAACAGTTCTTCCTTACAGCCAAGCTTTAGACCTACAATCAGCTGTGTTGCAGAGCACAATGAAAAACCTCATCTTTGTTCAGGCACTAACAGTCCTGGGGAATAGCAGACGTTTCCTGTAAGCAAGATGTTACTTTCTTTTCAGTGACAGTGTAACTTAGCGCTCTGTGATCTCTAACTTTTATCACTGTGATCCCACTTTCAGGGGCCTACATGTGAGAGAGGGGGTGTGTGTGTGTGTGTGTGTGTGTGTGTGTGTGTGTGTGTGTGTGTG